GATGGGGTTTCACCATGTTGACCAGGATGGTCTCGATCTCTTGACCTCGTGATCCACCCGCCTCGGCCTCCCAAAGTGCTGGGATTACAGGCTTGAGCCACCGCGCCCGGCCAATGCTTCTATTTTAACATAGCACTAAAAGTATGTGGCAAAGAATTAGTCAAAATAATTTCTAAAAAGCCATTAACATTGAAGACAAATAAGTAAAAAGTTGCTGTTGGTAGATCATATAATCTCATATATTAAAAAAAAATCATACACAGTACATTTAAACATGTCTAAACTAATGAATATACTCAGTAAATTAGCAAAATATTAAATTAACATACATTTATAAGATATGGTTCCATACACTTAAACTATCTGATAAAATAAAGGAGGAAAACAATCTTATTAACAATAGCATTAAAATACATTTCTTAGAACAAATTTAAGCAAGGATCTAAAAAACCTTTATAATACATGATACAAGATATAAATGGAAGAAATTAGAAAAAACACAAATTTTAAAATATTTTGTGTGTATGGGTTGAAAGAAGATTGTTAAAGTGCCATATTATCCAAAGTGATTTACACATTCAATAAACTCCTTATCAAAATTCCATACCTTTTCAAAATACCACAGTAGTTACTGTGAAGACATAATAATAATAAAATAGTAATAGTTTAAAAAAATAAAATAAAAATAAATAAATAAATAAAATAGTAATAGTTTTTATAGTAATAAAAACAGGAGGGAACTTGCAGAAAAAAATGAATTAAAGAAACAATGAAACAGAAACTACTACTCACATATTTCAGACATGATGCAGAAAGAAAACTTAAAAAATAGTTTAACATAGAGTTTCTTAAAATTCCACAGACATAGCCGGGCACAGTGGCTCACGCCTGTAATCCCAGCACTTTGGGAGGCTGAGGTGGGCGGATCACCTAAGGTCAGGGGTTCGAGACCAGCCTGATCAATATGGTGAAACCCCATCCTAAAAAAAAAAAAAAAAAAAAAATTACAGACATTTATGTGTCCACCCAAACATTAAAAAAGCAGATCTTGCAGTCTTGTATATGCCATAAAGGGGATTTTGGCTCTCATCGCAAACTTATAAACCTCAGGCTTCTCAGAAACTATCTACCTTGGAGCACAGCTCACAAATCATATTTCAAAAACTGACTTTCTCCTTGACATTTGGACCTCTCATCTGCGTCGTCTGTTGCATTCACTCTCACCTACCTGGGAGTTTGGCCACCATCTCCTGTCTCTTCATATTCCAGGGCTCTTTGCCTTGCTCCAGACAGGTGATCAGGTCTGGCTTAGAAACAGCAATACCTGTTTCATTAAAAATAAGTACCATGAATGTTGCTCATATTCTCCAAATAATGTGCTCAGTAAAGAGGATGTAATATAATATTCCAGTAAATTAATTATAAAATGCCAATTTAAAACAGAAATATTTCTAAATATTTAGAAAATGTTTTAAATTTGTAGGTTCCTAATTTTACTAAACTTAGTACTACTCAATCAAAAACTGGTGATGACAAAAAGTACAGAAAACAAAATTTTATGCCACTAAATTTCTGGAATTAACGTTAATTTAGAGTAAAGGATACAGATCAGGGATGTAAAAAGTTCAGATCAAGATGAAACGTCTTGAAATTTTTTTTTTCCTACACTGACAAATTCCCAAGATTTTCTTTCTTTTCTTCTTTTTTTTTTTTTGAGATGGAGTCTTGCTCTGTCACCCAGGCTGGAAGTGGTGCCATCTCAACTCACTGCAAACTCCACCTCTAGAGTTAAGTGATTCTCCTGCCTCAGCCTCCCAAGAGCTAAGACTACAGGTATGTGCCACCATGCCTTGCTAATTTTTGTATTTTTAGTAGAGACGGGGTTTCACCATGTTGACGAAGCTGGTCTTGAACTCCTGACCTCAGGTGATCCACCCACCAAGGCCTCCCAAAGTGCCAGGATTACAGGCATTAACCACCACATTTGGCCCCGATGATTTTCTTTAAAATAGAAATCTGGCCGGGCGCGGTGGCTCAAGCCTGTAATCCCAGCATTTTGGGAGGCCGAGGCGGGTGGATCACGAGGTCAAGAGATCGAGACCATCCTGGTCAACACGGTGAAACCCCGTCTCTACTAAAAATGCAAAAAATTGGCTGGGCATGGTGACGCGTGCCTGTAATCCCAGCTACTTAGGAGGCTGAGGCAGGAGAATTGCCTGAATCCGGGAGGCGGAAGTTGCGGTGAGCCGAGATCGCGCCATTG